TGACCCCTAAAACCCCTTAAACCCTCAAAACTAAACAATAATACAACATAGTTAACACAAACGTAAATGATATAATGAAATTTTTTTTTTTTTAAAAGTGATATTTTTGCAAAATTTTTGTAAAGGTGGCATTTTTGAAAAATGACATTTTTTTAAATTTCTCGTAAAACAATAACATAAGCTTTTAAACAGTTTTTAAAATAAAAAAATGTATTTTAATAAACTGTTTTTAATAAAACATTTTTAATAAATTGTTTATTTATTAAAATGTTTTCTTAAGTAATTTTTAAAAAACTTTTATTGAAAAACTTTTTTAATAATACGGTTTTGATAATTGTAAACTTCAAAATACTCAAATAAAGTTTTTACTTTACCAAATAATTACAAAACACATATACTTTCTCAAATTTTACAAAAATACATTCAGAAAACCTAAGATCTATCAAATCTCATTCCAATGCTAACTTCTAACAACCTAAAAAAATCTATGAACCTACATAAAACACTTGAAAAACAAAGAAAACTTAAAAGCTCACACAGGTCAAAAAACATGTCTTCATATAAACTACAAAATCTAACATTTCTAAATAATAAGCAAGAAACAGAGAACCCAACCGTTCCAAAAACCTACTTAAGAACAAACAAGAACTCCCATGTTAAATTGTCAATGCAATACTTGAAGATAAACTCCCATGTTAAATTGTCAATGCCAACTAAACAAACAAGAACGGAAGGTGTAAATGTGTCTGTGCATGCAAAGGGAACTAGGGTTAAATAAAAACAGAAATTTTTAGAGTACTCAACAACAAAAAAACACCTATAAAATACAATGATATATACAAAACAAAAACCTGAAGGTGATGGGGGTGTTGGAGAGAGAGAGGAGGAGGCGAAGGTGTAGGAAGGGGATTCAATTTGGTGTTGGCAAAACTGCACATAATTTTCAAATAATTTAATCAACCAATCATTCTGATCTGTTCACCAAGATTTCAACTAGGAGCAAGAAGCGAAAAGTGAAAAGTGAAAAGGAACCATTAACAGGAATATCTCCAGTGAGAGGATTGTTTGAGAGATCCCTGCATGCATTTCAAGATGATATTTGTTTTCTGAATTCATGCCTATGTTGGCCAAACAATAATCAGAATAAAAAAATTTGGGAGTGGCTCACAGAACTTGCAGTGTTGCAATCGCAGTCAAAGACCTTGGAATTTCTCCAGATAAGTTATTGTTGTTAAGACGCCTGAACACCAATAACAAAGGACCATGTCAAGAATAAGTGAAAAAAATTAACCGTGTTAAAAACTACGTTGCATGGAAACGTGAAAATAGTGGCATTTCCGTTTCGGAAACGGAAACGTGACGGAAACGCGAGGAAACGTGATGGAAACGCGGTCGGAAACGTGAATTTTGGTTTTTTTTTTTTTTTAAATTAATTTTGATTTTGAAGCAAATTAAATAAATATTTTGAAAATATAGGGATTTGTTTGATATTTTTAATAAGTTTTAAAACCTAATTATTAAATACTAATACATTATTTTTCTCTAATCGTCACCGTAACCTAAAAACGTAGAAGAGTCGAAGAGATAAGCAAGGTATTTTTTTTCAATTACAGTAGATTTGTTATTGATTATTGAAATTGTGAAGTCGTATACAAAAACGAAGTGTTTTTTTGTTCGAGTCGGATTAGATTTGTTTCAAATATTTTAAAACTATTGATAATTTTGGTTTCATGATATATACATATACACGTTTCCAAAACGTTAACGTTTCCGTTTCTTTTTTTTAAAGAAAAATCGTTTCCGCGTTTTTTAACGTTTCGCTTCCACATTTCTGTTTCCATTTCCATGCAGCATAGGTTAAAAGAAGAGAGGTTAAATGTGGGTACATACAAGATACAGAGTTTCTTTAGTCGGCCAAGAGTTGATGGTATGGGACTGCTTAAATTGTTCAAGTAAAGATCCAAGCTCACCAATTCCGTCAAATTTCCAAGCTGCTTTGGGATTCCCCCAGTAATGTTATTGCTATAAAGCTTCCTGCATTACGATTTCATTAAATATTATTTTCTACAAAAGATTGGAAAGTTTTAAAATCTACAAAACTACTTCACTAATAATCTATGGTGATGCAAAATCATTACAATTCTTTTTAATCCCTATAGCTTTAGATGAATCAACGACAGGAGCACACATGCACTAAACTTGTATAAAAATCTATTTTTTTTTTTATCTCTAATGGAAAAAGAAGAGATGACTTACAAATACTGCAAGTTTGGAAGCTGACCAAGTTGCATTACGAGCTGACCAGATAGATTTGCATTCCCAAGGTCACTGAACAAACATGAAAACCATGAAACTCTCAGTAGATGCACGAAAAGATAAGCCGAATCATATTTAATTGGCTAGAGACAGAAAGAAACTTACACACGTGTAACACTATCACTATTGCAAGTAACATGAAACCATGTACAGGGAGTAACAAGAGTAGCATCCCAACTTTGAAGCATTTTGTTAGGGTCTGCTAAACTGTTTTTTAATGCAATCAAAGCATCACCTGCAGTTAAACCAAAGAAGAATCAAATTGACGTCTCAAACCTTGCAATCATCAAAGGTCATGACGAAGCAAAATGATCAACAACACAACATAACTCAAGTCAACGATGCAAAACAAGCAAAGATTAAGTTAAAAGTGCCCTCTTTATGCGAGAACAAGTTATCATAAGAATCCATTAATTAGTCATTATTAGAAACCTAAACAAATCGTACCAGCAAATTTTCCAGCTCTCAAACAAGTATTTAAACTGAGCAAAGACTGAAAATTTCAAGAGAAATGAGAGAAGAAGCCAAAAACCTTGGGCGTTGCCAGATACTCTAAGAACCAAATCGAGAATCAACCAAAAGAAGCCAGGAATCATCAATCTTCGTTCCATTTCTTCCCAAACTTTCCCAAATAAACCCCAAAACGAATATTCAAAGATAGAGAAAAATTGAAAATTTGGTCAATGTTTTGCTTTTTTAGATTTGTGGGTTCATAAAGTAGTTTGATTATCACTAATCACGATCACTAGTGAAAGAGAGGACCTACCAGTGTTAGAATACAGAAAATGTTATTTTTGAGTGGAAGTCTTGATTTTTAGCAACTATTTGACCATCAAGAATCATTGATTTTGCATGAACTATGAATTAAACACTCATCAATTTCGGATTTTTTTGTTTGTTAAGTGTGCTTTTGATGTCAAATAGTAATGACTGTAATAAAAAACAAAGACTAGCAAGAAGTGAAAGAAAATGTTTTTTATACACGCGAAATTATCCGAAATTTTTCTTTTCCGTGTGTTAAAAATTTAAAACCGATTTAAGAATTCAAAATTTGACTGATAGCTCCGAAAAACCATTTTTTAAAGCCCATTTATAAGTTTAAAGTTAAACTAATTTATTG